TATTGATTACCATTGGTACTTTTCAATAATGTTATAAAATATCTTTTTTATCATTGCAAAAGAAAAAAAAAAAATGGCTTAGCCCCAACAGTTTCCCCTAGACATGTTCCATATAGTGAATATATCTTGGCTTTTGGACACAAAATAAAGTAGCACCATCAAGCATACAATTCGTGACAAAGCTGAGGGGATGCTTGAATACTAGTACGCATCTCGTACGATGCACGGACAAGCTTGTTACTTAATTTTTTTTAGAACTTTATTTTAAATATAATTATTTATATTTAACAAAGTCATTATAGCAAGAAAAAATATACAAAATATAAAAAATTATTCATCATTTATTTGAATAGAATGAGTCTCCATAACCAGACTAAAACATCTAACACATGATATATGATAAAAACATCTAACTTATGATATATGATAAAACTAATTATAGGCATCGTCATGCTTTTTGAAAAAATATATATTTAATAAATATGATATATTTAAGTTTCATACCATTAAAATTCGTAATTCGAATAGGAGATGAAAAATTGCGAACATACTTTGATAAGTGTAAAGTTGTATTATTTCTGTGATTCATCATCATTAATTGGTTTGATTTTATTTAGACAACCGACATAATTTATAATTATTATATGCCATAAATTAAATGATAGTTAGATAAATACAGAAATGAATAATTTATATAAAAGTGTACGAAGTTTAATGTGTGAAATCACCTAATTTTTTCTAAAACTATTATTGAAAAAACATATCTAAAAATATTACCCCATTTTGATTTACGATGTTTAATGTCTTTAAATTATTAAATTTATTTTAGTACATGATGGTGGACTTTGTTATCTCTTTAACTTAGAGAGTTTGAATCTTATAGTTCAAAATTCTTCTATTACATTTATGAAAATTGATCTTTTAATGGTTCATATGTAGTCAAAATTCTTCTCTTAACATTTTTAAAGATACAATTTATATGTTATTTTAATGGAATTTGTCATATTGTTTTGGACTTTGTCTTTGAAAAAATAAAATAAGATGAGATAAAATTGGTACACATACAATTAAAAAAATAAAATAAATAAAATTGGTATATGCTGAAAATGTCTCGCATATTATTTACATAATTTATGCACCGCTTTGATTATCTATTTTCACGTGAAAAAAACATAGACATATCCATATCAACCTAGCATGATTTATCAATATGCGAACATATATCGCATATGATTCACATAATTATGCACCGCATTGATTGACTGCATTTTTTCACGTAAAATTACAATTAGACATGCAAATTGTGGATTTTTTTTTTTCATAAAATCTTATAGGTCGTCATTTAATTTTTTCTAGCCTGCATTTATTATTCTTCTTTTTACTAATTTTTTTTTTCTTTTAATTCTACTACATTTTTTTTGTTCAAGCTTTGTAAGACCCCATATATACTGCATTTTATTTTTCGTTTCAATTCTTCTTATTGAACTTATTTGACTCTTATTTTTATTTCTTTTATAAATTGCACTTCAATGGCCAACAACCTTGTTAGAGTATGTGTGTACTATGGCAGCAAGTTTTCCCTGGATAAATATGTTGGTGGTGGCAGAGCTGATGAGAATAAATTACGGCCAACAAATGTATTCTAAAGTGGTTTCTCATTCTCATGCATTATTAAAGCCTGATCCTTGTAATTTTGAGTAATTAGCATTTGATGGAAGGGATCGAGTTACGAAGATGAAATTAGAATTCAATGATGAAATCGTAGAACTGTTTCAAAATCAAAGTAATCTCAACATTTAAGTCAAGTTGGAATAGCGACTAAATGTAGGGACTCCGGGGACGGGGCAACAAAGCTTCACACAATTGATGGCGTCCAATGGCGTATTTTCTAGTCATTTTGGTATTGGTAGTTATGAATTTTCCCACGAGACGTCATATTCATATCAAGCAGGCAACACTTTTCATCCAACATGTTCTTCTTCATTTACGCATACTGGAGCAACCCTAGTTCATTTTCTCGGGCCACTGATGACCAAACCGCGGCTTATTCAGCTTTTGACCTAGGGTTTGATGACACACGTGATTGTTCGAACTAATCAGGTCATTCCTCGTGTTGACGATGATGTTGATGACCAAACAAATACGCACAATGATGATTCTGGCGACGAACTACCCATTCTGGATGGGACGCAAATGTTTAAGATTCTCAAGGTGTGGTATTGTGAGCATGCTGAACAACTCAAATTAGCTATCGACCATATTGAGGTTAAATTTCTTGCATCTACTCATCCAGGTAGCACACGCCAACCCGACATTGAGGTACGAATGTGGTCCCTTATGTGCCTTCCCATGACAACTAGGTCAGATAGACAACCTATCCACTTGCCCAACGTTTCTATATGAACCTCAAGGGCATTCTCAAGTCGGAAAATTTTGAGAGCCGCAACGAGGTAGTTTTGATGGATTTTATGATAGCTAAAACTCTAAGTGATGGGGTGATTACTTTCCGTTTACACCATTTGCTACCCAACAACAACATCCACCGAGTTTGAGCACATCTCTTGAAGAGATTGTTAAGTCGGTCGCATTTAGCACTTTACAGTTTCAACAAGAGACTAGGAGCAGCCTCAAGAATCTAGCAAATTGACTGGACCAACTTGTGTTCTCAGTGAGCGAAAGCGTATCTCGAGTTGAATTGTCATCAGAAATGGTGGTAGATACCCCGAGTTGTGCTATAGAGTTGACGGAATCTCCTAAGATAGAGCAAGAATTCATGGAGGAATCTAAACAAGTTGTGGTTTTTAAGCCTCAAAGTGATGTGCCTCCTAGTAATTTTATGGGTATTGGTGAATCTAAAGTGCCGAAAAATATTGACCCGAGTGATCTGGATAAGTTGAAAGTTGTACTTATCAATGATTTAACTTTTGGTAGTTCACTAGAGTTTCAAGATAACTTTTATGATTTATATTACTTTTCTCTAATTGATACCATATCATCTGTTTCTCGTGCTGACAATTCGTATGCCACTATTGATTGTTGAGAATTTGATCAAGACTAAGGAAAAAAGTCTTTTGCACCTTTGAAAAGAATTAAAAAAGGAATTGGTTGAGTTCCGATAAATAATGTCTAGCCAAAGACGTTAAATTATAAAGGTGCTTTTTGGAAGACAACCCAATTTTTCATATATATATATTTTTGCTTGATTTTTATTTTTAGGTTAGTCTTTATTTTGTCATTTTTCTAGTTTGGTAGTTATTTTAGTAATTATAAGGTATAAACGAATTTTGTGTAAGCCATGAAGACGCTTTATTTAATTCAAAATTAACTAGTTCTTCTTATGTAAGCCGTGACCACGCCTTATACAAATTTGTTCCTGTTTNTCAGACTCCTAATTCTTCTTTGCCTTCTTGTATTCTTCATTCTTTTCTCCTCTGCAACTCTAAACCACAGTTTGATTTTCTCTTTGCCTGCAGATCCATAATCAAGCAAGCGACCAACAAAGACGGTGACTGACCACCATCCTCCGCTAGAAACCCGTGAGAGTATTCTTTTCCGATGAAACAACGCGACGCCGTCAACCATTCGTGTTCAGCTCACAATTTGTTGTACTTCGCCACCTGACCACTGGCCAGCTAACCACCCCAACCACCGCGAGCATGATCCTCTCCGGTAAAATAAAGCGAGGCCGTCAATCGTCTGTTGTTGCTTTCTCGGCAAATTCTGCTGCTCCTTTTACGGCGTAATAGACCATCCGCAGCTTCTTTTCCGGTGGGATCCGCTGCTTCTTTTATGCATACACATGGCCTCATCTATTCAAGATCGCCAACCTCCCTTGAATTTTGATGTATCTTTTGTTCCTGACCATGGAGTGCCGCCTGAAACCATGAAATCTAAGACCCGAAAATCCAGCGAGGGGAATTCTCCCTGATGCTCCTTTTTCAGAGTAACTGTCTGACTTCTAAGTTCTCCTGATGTGCCACATCACCTCCGTTCATGCACCACCGTCCACAGCCTGACACCAGCGAGTCAGTGCACCACCACCTCTGTCTTCACCGTCCTCGGTCCACGTCTTCATGTTTAATTTTCGGGAGAGTCACGTCTCATACCGTGTGAGCGTCCGCTGCTCTATTCTTGTGTGTACATAAAAGAATGTGGTCTGGCCGGCCGCTACTATTTTCCGACGAATCACGCAGAACGCCCACTCCCTATTGGATGCTTCCTTTTCCGGGCAGACTAGTGGTTTTAATCGTGAACTTACATTAGCCGAGGTTCTAAACCAACAAGTTCTCATCGACCACCACGACCAGATTGATGGATGAAACCACCATCAGTCGTTTTTTAGGCCCAATTAGAGTCCAACATTCGAGCTATTCAAGTGAGGCATCATTGACCACTATCAGCCATACGTCCAGTCCCGACTATCCAACCTCTGAAATTTGTCGTCCACTTCCGTGCCCAGTTGACTAATTTTGAGGCATACTACGAATTACCATGGGTCACGCCACTAGCACGAGTAGCCAAGGAAAAAGGAAATGCAATCTGAAACCATTCGATTGATCACTCACCCAACGCTTTAGTGAGATGTTGATCCCACCCGGAATTCAGTGTGATCAAGGGATTTTTCTACTTCTCTTGTTTTTATTTTATATACTTTTGATTTGAGCATTGAGTTGGTGACATTGAGGATAATGTCTATTTTTAAGTATGGGACGGGGTGTCATTTGCGATGTTTTGGTTTTACATAACCTTATATATCTATCTTTGGTTGACAATAATTTTTTTGAGATGTTTTTTCGAGATTATTTTTCTTAGGTGTTGAGTCTTATTTATTGTGTCTCTCATGAGTATTCTCGACTCATATATAGTGCCATTCCGTCAAAATTTGATTTTATTTGCATGCGTAAATGATTTGTAGTCCTTCTTGCTACTTGGTAATTGATTATTATTGATGGTTATTTGATGGATGAATGCATGTGATTCGACATTCATTTACCTTGTTTTTGGTGAGATTTGAGCCGATAAGAATACATTGAATATCATGCTCCATTTTTTTGATTGTGTGTTGTCATGACTAGTTGATTTTTTCAGAATTTGCATTGGTATGCACATCTTTGTTTACTCCCTTGATGAATTTGGATGTACGATATCTTAATCAGTGTAATAGGATTAGCATTTGTTTTTAGCCTTTTTCTTGGAAGCCTACCTTTTACATAGACCTCTAATGAGCCAAGTTTAAGCCTTAGGCTTTTCTTTCGATTATTCACGTTGCAAGCCATGATCCTTTTTGTTGATACCCTCTTTTGAACCTTGAGTTGAAACAACTATACGAATTCTTTGTATACATGGTAAGCTTATGTGCGTAGACTTGACTGTGGTATGTTTGAGGTTTATTTGTCTAACATCTACTAGTTATTGTCTTCTCTCCAAAATAAAATGGACAGAAAAAAGTGAAAGAAAAGAAAAAAAAATCCAAAAAAAGACTCAGAAAAAAAAATAAAGAAAAAAATAGAAAAAGAAAAAATGGAGAGAATGATGATGAAGAGAATTGTGCTAGTTATTCCTACGTTGGATACAACTTGTGAAGTTAGACAGTCAGCGTAATTTATTTTGGATTGAGCTCCGATTGTGAAGAGTTTGTATGATTGCTTTGATTCTCATAACCTAATATGTCCTTTTGTCACACCTTACCGAAGCCCCATTACAACCCATTTAAAGCCTTCGATTTAGTGTGTTCATATCGATTCTTGGGTGAACGAGCGTGATATATTTGCAAGCTTATGGTAAAAGTCTTCACTGTCTTAACTTGAGCGTACACTTTATATACTTAGACTATACACGTCCGAGCGCTGAGTGCTTCTTGTGAGAAGTTGTCGAATCTAATGTGTTTTAAGTTATTTGATTGTTGAGGTGATTATTCATTGATGTTGGTTAATAAGGATTCTGTCTTAAGCTATGTTCCTGACGTGTGCAAAATAATTGTAGGTTGGTAACAAATGATAAAGATGATTATGAGATGAGATCATGAATTTGACGTGATGCTTGAGGACAAGCATTGTTTAAGTGTGGGGTGATTTCAAAAGTGATATTATTGGCATGTTAATTGTCATGTTTTTCATTTTTTTCGGTGTTTGTTAAGCTTAATTATTTATTCTTATATTTTTATATGAGATCTTTGAATTTGTGATTTTATGATTTGAAGGGCAAAAGAAACGAATTTGAGCAAAGGTGTGGGCACTCTAATTTCCTAAAAGAGTTAGAAGAAGGAATGAATCTTGAGTTGAAAATAGAAATAAAAAACTTTATGGTGTATTTATTTATTAATGGACTATTATATTTTAGACAAAATTGTATATTAATGCACCACATTTTCATGTTTTGAAATTTAATCACCACCTTTGAAATTTTGCAAATTATACACCACCTTTATCATTTTTGCAAATCGATACATGAATAACGGTTCCGTTAACAAAAATTTGACATGGCATTGTTGTGGCTTAATGCCACGTCAGATTTTCATTAGATTTTTGTTAACAGAATCGTCATTCATGTATCGATTTTCAAATATGTTAAATGTGGTGTATTAATTTGCAGAATTTCAAATGTGGTGATTAAATTGTAAAAACAAGAAGGGTTGTGTATTAATTGCAAATATAATCTCCGTTTTCTTCGGATACACACCTTAAGTGTGTCCGAATGTATGATCTCTTGTAGAGGACCTCTTCTAGCTCAAAATACTTGGACAACTGCCGAGCTACCGCTCAGCCTGTTGCTTGTCTCCTGACGGCACTTGCCCTTGCAAAAATTCTCTAATTGGGGTTCTCTAATCTTCCTTCTCCTCTATTCCAATATTTCTCCCAAAATGCTTCCTTCTTGGTAGAATGTGGTTATGTGCTTTCCCATCTTTCTTTCATTCAAGCGTGCTATCCTCGCTAGCCAATTAGCTCTCCAATTTTCTTCTCTTGGAATTTGGATTAGCTTAAATTTTCCAAGGTTCTGAACAAGATTCTGAATCTCCTCGACGTATTTCAAATGCGTTCTTACTTTACTTCATAGTTTTCCAATACTTCTCCTACCATGAGTTGAGAGTCAAAATGAGCTATAACCTCACTACCTCCACCGCTTATGGCGAGCTGAAATCCTTTTGTCAACGCCTCATATTCCGCCACATTGTTTGAGGCCTTAATCCCATCCTGAGAGCAAAGTTGAGTTGTTCTCCTTCTGGAGTTTCTAAGACAATCCCGAGCCCTAACCTCTTAGCTATTGAGGATCTTTCCACATGGACTATCCACTTTGCCTCATCTCCCTTAGTACACTTGTTGTTGTATGGAATTAACAACTCAAAATCACAAACAGCAAGGTGTATTTAAACAAAACCAAATATAAAATTGTGTTTTATTGATAAGTTCACAAAAGTACAGGAAGTCGGTTATCTGTTCTTGACCGAGATCATTTTAAGTCCGTGTACAATGTGTGAGAAAAGATCCTCGTACAATCATAAATTCTGTTATTTATAGTACGGTTGTTTTTGTCTTTTTGTCCAAGGTAGATAAGATCGCATTTAATGTTGAGCAGCTTCAATAAAGCGGTGTGTAATGGAACAAGGGAACATCAATGATTGCTTCTTGTTTAGATGATCCAATCAAATGTTGACAACACCATCTGCTTGGATATTTGATCCCCTCGGATGTCGGTTAAATGGATAATTTTGATACAGCGAATCACGATGTCGGTGAAGTCGGTCATCGGTTTCTGATAAACAGTCGGTTCTACTTTCTACCATCTGGAAGTCGGTAATTATTTTATTCAGCTGATACTGACTTGAGCTAAGTTCAGCTATTTCTGGAGGACCACTGATCGAACGGGGCAGTTAATCTTTAGCTTAATCTCACGAAACCAAGTCGGTCATCAACAACACTCTTGTATGAAGTCAACTAATGCCTGCGCTCTGATTGCTCACCTTGGTTCATACTAAATGGTGTATTTTATTGCATAATTTGTGCGCAGTTACTCAATTAACTTTGCCTATCTGCTACATATATTATTGTATAATACTTGCTCAATTATCTTCATCTTTCTGTCGCATAGTTGATCGCATAATTATTTCGCACTTACTCAATTAACTTCGCTTGTTTATCACATAATGAGATCGCACTTGCTCGATTATCTTCGATTGTCTGTCGCTTAGTTTATCAATAATTATTTTGCACTTTCTCAATTAACTTTGTATGTATGTGTCATAGTTTATCACATAATTATATTGCACTTGCTCGATTATCTACGTCTGTCTGTCGCATAGTTTATCGCATAATTATATCGCACTTGCCCGATTATCTACGTCTGTTTGTCGCATAGTTTATCGCATAAGTAATTAACACTTGCTCAATGAACTTTGTTTGTCTGTCCTATAGTTTATCGCACAAATATTTCACACTATCAATTACCTGCGTCTGTTTGTCGCATAATTTGTTTCGCACTTCATCAATTATCTTCATCTCGCTCAAGTTTATTGCAGG